AAAAATTTTTTCTTAAAAGCCGTCTTGATGCATATTGACTAATTGTTTATGAGAAGCATACATATAAGAGGCTGACAATTAGCTGAATGTATAGCCTACTTGTATAATTAGTGACACTTAGCCTGCGTTTTAAAATCTTTATTTGAATGTGGCAATTAACATTTTTATTTTAAAACCTTTATTTGAATATGGCAACATAATATTGCGCTCTACACTATTTCTATGAATACATTTCTGACAGAGACTATCAGCCAATCACTGTGTGCATAGTTAAGTATGCTGACATCATCCATAGCAACGAGGTCAACCCCGCCCCCTTACTCTTAGCTTAAGACTTCTGTCTATTCCTTAGTAAAAGTTTGTCTCAGCAGCTTTGTGAAGAGGTTTTAAGAGAAAACTCTTTCACTGCTATTTAGGAGAACTCTTAGTGGTAAGATAAAATGTTTTGTTAATACGGGCCCAGGACAGTGTGTATTAGAAAGTGTAATTTAATTTACATGAATTTTCTCCGATCATAAGACAGATGTGACACTATTTCTTCATCCAGTGTGAATGAATCCTCGTCCTGTGTCCTCTGTGCAGTCTGATGTTCGAGCAGCGGGTGCGTTCCTGGCGAGAGCTACCCATCCGCTGGGCAGATTTTGGCGCGCTGCACCGTAACGAACACTCAGGGGCTCTGGGGGGTTTAACCAGAGTCCGGCGCTTCTGCCAGGACGACGCGCACATCTTCTGCACACCTGAACAGGTACAGCTTCACTGCCTTTTATTTATTGAGTCACTCTATTTAATAGAGTCAGGGGTGCAGGACCTCTTACAAAGGACCTGTCTCTCCAGTTTCCAAGTCTGTGCCCAACTGATTAGGAGATAGTTATTGCATTTAAGTGATTTGTTTTGCTCGACCACAGAGCAAAGAGCAAACAGTTTCAGACCAAGCAGAAGCATGTGTCAACTGGTGTCGTATTACATAATTAATATTTGTGAGAAAAACGTTACCATTAATGGTAGTAATATGAAGTGTAGGAATATTTTAATTGGATCTGAATGAGTTTGAGTTGTTTGAGTTCACTGTAAGCGTCGGATGTTTAGTATTAATTGGCCTCCTTACGGTTGGAGTTGTTCTAGTTAGCTAAACTCAATTGCTGCAAACTGCTGTGTGAGTGTTGTGCTGTTTTCAGGAATTTCAACATCATGAATGCTTTAAATCACGAAATAAGGTCACCAGTGTGACCCTCACTGACATAATCAAATCAAACATAGATAAACTACTCAGTGACAGTCGTGTGTCTTCTAATGCCATTAACAGAAACTTAGTTTCTGACCTTGTTTACTCTTGGTTTCCATTTGTATTTCCAAAAGTAAAGCCTGTTAATTGTCCCTCCCTTGAGGAGCCTCACACGAGCTCTGTATGAGTCATATCAAACCGTGTTTCTGTGTCCGTGTGTTTGTGCAGCTCTGGCTTTGGTCTTCAGTGTGAAGGAATGCGTCTCGCTCTGTTCTGATGTCAGTGTTTATACTGTGTCTCATACACACCCTTCAGTTGTTTATCCGCTGCTGCTTCTCTTTTCTGTCTCTTCAGCTGGAGGAGGAGATCACGGCGTGTTTGGACTTCGTGAGGAGCGTGTATCGTGTCTTTGGTTTCTCCTTCCACTGTCTGCTCTCCACGCGGCCCGTGCCCTGTCTGGGAGAGCCGGCCCTCTGGGACGCTGCAGAGCAGGTGCACCTGTCAATCAAACCTGTGACCGCCGCCCACCGAAGCGCGTGACCGTGTTAATTTAGGGTTGTTTATAAACTATTATTTATATATTTTCACTATTCATTTAAATTTTATTAATTAGTTTTATTAATTTTACTAACTAATTCTATTATGTGCTTTTGTCATAGGTTTTTTGTTTTCTTTTTAGTATTTCTATTTAGCTTTCATTAATTTTTTTCAGATTTAGTTTTAGTAACTTTAACATGTTTATTTCATTTAGTTGCCAAGACAATATTTTTTTATTTAGTTTTTCATCTAATATTTATAGTTTGTCATTTATATATATATATATAAAAATATATATAGCTTTATTTTTGTTTTAGTTTAAGTAATTTAAACTTATTTCTGTTAGTTGCCAAGGCAACATTTCTGATTTTTGTTTTTAAGTTTACATTTTTCATCTAATATTTATATTGTGTTATTTTTTATTCTTTTTTTTTATTTCTATTTAGCTTTAATTTATGATTTCTGTTTCAGTTTGTCTTTTTATTTATATATTAATTTTAGTTAGTTGCCAAGGTAACATTTATTTGAGTTTTAAGCTTACACTTTTCATCTAATATTTATAATTTGTCCTTTTTATTAGTTTTATTTTCAAAATATTTCTATTTATCTTTAATTTAATTATATTTGAGTTTTAATTTAAATAACTTAAACTTATTTATTTCAGTTAATTGATAAGGCAACATTTCTGTTTTTTATTTTTAATTTCTATTTAGCTTTAATTTATTTGTATTTCTGTTTTAGTTTTATTAATTTTAGTTCTTCAACTTATTTAATTTCAGTTTTTTTTTTTAAGTTTCATATTTTTGTATTTTTTGTTTTTATATATATATATATATAGCTTTATTTTTTTTTATTAATTTTAAATTAATTAATACTTTAACGTAAACATATTTATTTCAGTTAGTTACCAAGCCAAAATAGTTTTTCCTTTCTTTTTTTTTTTCATTTTTAAACTTTTTTTTCTTTATTAATTTTATTTACATTTTTGAAAGCAATTTTTAAGTTGTATTTTTAGTGAACAACAACACGTGTCGAAGCGTGTCGGAGGCTGTTTGTGTTCCTGCAGTGGTCTGGAGACTGTAAGATCTTGTCTGTACAAGTACCAGCATAGAGTATGCAGCGAGACAATAAAGCAAAGACGCGGCGTAAGTGTAGGGCAGGTCCGAACAGACGGGTTACGTGTCAGAGATTCATTAATGTTGATCAGGGTCACAGTGTGGAATAAAGCGAGCAGGTCATGAGACTCAGAGGAGGGAAACAAACAGCCAATCACAGCCGAGCATGCAGTATATAAAACACACCACAGGAGCTCTTCACCTAGCGATAGTTCACCCAAAAATAGAAACCTGAAGAAGATATTTTGAAGAATGTTGGTGACCAAACAGCTGATGGTAGCCATTGACTTCCTTAGTATGAAAAAAATATATATATTTTTGAACAATTTTTGGGTGAACTATCCCTTTAAATACAACATGCACAAGGCCTTTGCTTTATAAGGATGGATGTGGTTTCAGGCCGGGTTGTCTGGTTTCTTTGGGTTAAACAGGGAAACAGTAATATCTCTCCTAGCGCTCTCTCCCTCAAACTAATGCTGCTTTCAGCTGTGCATGTTTTGAGATTATTGAATTAGATGTTTACAGCAGATTCTTTTAGTAGCGTTTCCAAGGCCAAAGCCGTACACGGACACATTCCAGGTTTTCCTCTGTAACGCCTCTGTCTCTCGTGTTTGTCCCGGAGCAGCAGTTGGAGAGCAGTCTCAAGCAGTTTGAGGAGCACTGGGAGCTGAATCCCGGAGACGGGGCGTTTTATGGACCAAAGGTGAGGCTGGCAGAAAGATGGATGTTTTCTGGTCAGACACTGCATGACAAATAAACTTTGGCAATCCACGTGACTGTTGTGAAGAAAAATGGTGAAAAACATACACTTACGATATTCACTTTCCCTTATACATTCATATAGTTTTTAATCTTGCTGTTGACAAGTCCATTCATTATGCCTCATTTACCCATATACACTAAAATTTGAGGTCACTTCATCATTCTAATATGCTGATTTGCTGCTCAACAAACATTTCTGATTATTATCAATGTTGAAAACAGAAAGATCAAAAGAACAGCGTTTATTTGAAATAGAAATCTTCTGTCACATCATACATCTTCACTGTCATTTTTTAATGACAAAGCTAGTATCAGTGGCTCCTGATTTGTTAGGTGGCTAAAGGGACGTTTGCTGTTCCTCTGGTGTTTCACGTTGTTCTTTAACAATCTGTTCAGATCGACATCCAGATCCGAGACGCTCTCGGCCGACAGCACCAGTGTGCCACGATCCAGCTGGACTTCCAGCTGCCCATCAGATTCAACCTGCAGTATACTGGGTAAGATCTCTCCTGACCTCCTGCCTGTCAGAAACTCACATGACTAGGATGCAATTTACCCTCGGTCTGGAGAAAATATGAAAGAAATTGAAATTATATCCATTAACTACTAAGACCATTAAGATGTTTTGTCATTATTTTCATGAAAATTAAGCACATTCCCCTCATGTGCATCCTTGCATTTTACTTGTAAGGATCTAGTAATTCCTATTGTTCTCAAAGCTAATATCATTTACTGAAAAAATACAATAAAGGTTTTTTTTTTAATCAGCTTACTATATTTTCTGAAAAATAAGTTGCATCTGAAAAATTCCATTGTTTAGAGAAAAAAACACATAAGTGGCATTGGTGTATAAGTCCCATTGTTATTATTACATTCAGAAATAATGTAAAATGGCAATTAAAAAAGGAAAACATTTGCAGACATTATAAACAACATGTGTTTCAGTTCCTCTCATTCCATAACAAAACCTTTAAATTTCACCGTTATTTCAGTATCATTGAGATGCTACTGTAGTTTTATTGATATTTTGTATTAGTTTTTCGTTTTTTCTGTTTTCATTTTAATTTAAAAGTTTTTGTTATTTTTATTAGTTACTGTTTTTAATATGTCTGTATAGTTTTTATTAATTTTTATTTGAGTTTAATTATTTTAGTACAAGTTAAACTAAATGAAAATTAGAAATGTTGCTTTGGTAACTAGCTAAAAATAAGTTTATGGTTGTTGGTAATTTTTATGGTTTTAGTTCAATATAATAACCCTGTTCAGAACGGATCAGGAATGAAAAATATATGTATATAAATTATAGTGGCATTCATTATAAACGGTATTTATTATAAATGGCAAGCCGAAACAAATTTATTTAAAGCGAAACTGAAACTTGAAATGTGCTGTACAAATAAACGTAGGCTCACGTCCCACTCTCGCTCAGCACCAGTACAAATGTGTGCGCTTGGTGCATGTTTGTGTGCGTGACGTTAATTGCATTACACAAGCCACTTTGGAATACAAGTCACAGCATGTTTTAGATGATAAAAAACAACACTTCTTCTGGAAAAATACAGTAAATACTGTCTGGGTGTTATATTAAAGGGGTCATATGATGTTGTTAAAAAGAACATTATTTGGTGTATTTGGTGTAATGAAATGTGTTAATGCGGTTTAAAGTTAAAAAAACACATAATTTTCCACATACTGTACATTATTGTTTCTCCTCTATGCCCCGCCTTTCTGAAACGCGTCGATTTTTACAAAGCTCATCG